TTAGGATTTTTGGGGCATTAGGATTTTAGGATTTTTGGGGGCATTACTCGATTATTAGTTCTCGTTTCCTTGTAGAACCGTTGTATAACAAGACAAGACAGAAGCTGTGTAAACGTCTACAAGCCCTTGGAGAAGCGAAACTCTCAGTCACAAATGCCCTAGGACCCGACAGCCCCTCCCAAAACCCAACACCCTACCCAAAACCCTAAACGCCAAAACCATCTAAGCCAGGTCCTTGCAAGTCTTCCAGGTTGGGATGTGGGATCCCGATGGGCCTCGGGTGCACGTTAGGGTTTAGGGCTTAGGGCTTTAGGGCTTTAGGGGTCTAGGGTTAGGGTTTAGGGTTTAGGGCTTTAGGGGTCTAGGGTTAGGGTTTAGGGTTTAGGGGTTCAGCGCTGAAAGGGTTTAGAGTTTAGGGTGTAAGCTTGTTTTGCCTCCTGCGTTGCTGAGAGGTCCAGGGGTTTAGGGTTTAGGTTTAGGGTTCGAAGGTACTACAAGGGCTGCGTTCGGGTTCTGTTTAAGGTTCCAAAAAGGGTTTCGTGAACGGTTCTATCAGGGTACTATAGAAGGTATAGTTAGGGTTTTGATCCACTGACTTACTATAGTTTCTGCAGGTGTCCCCGTATGGGCACTTCGGAAGGGTTCAGTGTGCAGGGCTGGTTGCTTAGGATTTGGGATGCAAGTTTGGAGGTTCAGGGCTTCAAGACTTGGAACCTGGAGTATATGCTACACCAACAAAAAACCTGCAGGTTTGATCCAAAAGCCAGATTCTCCAGACCGTGTTTAGGGCTTAAAGGAATCTTGGACATAGACTCCATGCCCTACCCGCCCTGTGCCCTTAAAAGAACAAGGTAAGCTCCCCAGGTACTGTTGCGCACCCCCCGAAAGCTCGAAGTAAGCACAAGCACGCCAACCCCAAAACTCGCGCTGCTAGGTCCTGGCCCTAAACCCTCCATAGCCAGCCCCGGCAATCCCAAACTCTAAGCTTCAGAAGCCCTCAACCAACAACGTCAACGGTAAACGATGGAACCGTACTAAACTACTAAACCCCACACCCTGAATTCGAAGCCCTCCGAACCTCAAGAAGTCCAGATCTCCACCTCTGCCCCGAAGTCTCCAAGAGCCTAAGCCCTAAACCCCAAAATCATTGGAAAGTAGCACTTCTGCATGTTCTGGCCGGGTAAGCAGTTGGCGGGTCGAACGCAACCTCAGCCACCATAGGGTTTAAGTCGTCGCTTGATGATCTACACCCTCTTCTACACCCCCACCTGACAGCGAAAGAACGAACCAACTTCTGCTACCGCCCACTCTGGTCTCACGGTCCCGGTTTCCGATGCTTGAAGGGTTTACGGATCAGGCAAGGGCCCCTAACAGTGTAAAGCCCCAGGCTATACACCTTAAGCCTCTAAACCCGAAACCCTAAACCCTAAACCAAAACCCCAAAACCCTATAAACCGCAGGGAAGCTTCCCCAAGTGCTGTTAGTCGAGGACTGC